AGATGGTTGTGAGATCTGCTGTGATGTATGATGTGGAGACAATAGCACTAACAAAAAAAAAAAAGAGGAGGCAGAGCAAAAGATGCTCAGATTTTTACTGAGAGTGACCACGAGTGACAAGATTAGAAATGAGTACACCAGAAGGACAGCTCAGATGGAGTGTTTTGAGACAAAGTTAGAGAGGAAAGGCTCTAACAGAAGAGTATGCAAGGGATAACAGGAGGCAGATGATCTGCTGTGGTGACCCCTAAAGAGAGCAGCCAAAATATAAATGATGAATTCATACCTAACCCCATATTTTTATCAATTAATAACAATGACAAAAAAGCATCAGGGTGATCTATAGTCAGGTAAAGGTCAGCATAACAGCAGCAACAAACACATTTTCCCTACATAAATCTGATTTAATCAATTTAAGCTCAGCACAAGCTCTTGGAGTTAAAGTCTGATATTTTCATTAACGGACACAAAGATGTGACGGAAAAACAAACGCTTTATTCTGTTGGCGCATTTTTTCAAATAAATTAATCGGTCAGACTATTTTTATTGTCGACCTGAAAAACCATCTCCCAAATCAGTCAGTAACCAGCAACAGCTTCACAACTGCAAGGCCAAAGTGAACATCCTCGGGCTCTGTAGAGACTAAGGAAGCCACAAACGAGATGGTGCACCTGGATGACACACTGATCAGCCGTGTCTGACGAATTATAGTCTGACACCAGCTTTCTTAAGCAGTCAGTTTGCTTTCTCTTTATACTGCCAATTAACCTCCAATATACTTCAGTAATAAACAGCACCATACACAATCATGAGCAACTCCAGCTTCAAAATGCCTCAGTGTTTGGTAGTGCTTCATTCTCTTGACTGGATAAAAATTGGTTCTTATTTATAGAACTGAGTCCTAATTGGCTCCTACAAGCTTTCCAACAACAGAAATACAATGCGAGTGTTATCTGTATCACTGGGGAAGAATGAGATTGAAAACTTCTAGCAAATATTGACACTTTCTTCTTCTACTTGATTAAAACTTCAAACAACAGCCTTATAAAAATCAGTCAGTATCGCCTCTTATTTATCTTAGTTATCGAGCCTCTTTTTGGAGATTCTCAAGTGCAACTCCACCAAACGTGATCAGCAGAAATCGTATATTTGTTACATTTAAAGCAGACAGTAAATGCACCACATGTAAGGAGACCTCCAGAGTGCAAGAGGTTAAATTTAAGACCATTTATTCATAACTTTCACTGTAAAGAAAATAAACGTATCATCCCTTATCACGTCCTTTATATTAAGCCTGTTTTATATCATTCATGTTTACTACCTACACTCACCGGTCACTCTATTAGTCGCACTTTGCTTTTAGTGTGTTGGACCTCCTTTTGCCTTCAGACCTGTCTTAATTAGCAGCAGGCAGCAACAAACAGCAGCAGCAGTTGTTTTTCAGCTGCACATCCATGATGAGAATCAGAGAAAGTGGCTACAATGTGATCATGAAGTAGCAGTAACACTCAGGTAGGTAGTACCATTTAAATTATGCTTAATTGATGATAATATCCCCCACACCAATACATCAACAACAACCTGAACCTTTGATACAAAGCAGGATGCTGTTTATGGTAAATTCTGACTCTACCATCCAAATGTCACTGCATAATCTGAGACTCATCCAATCATGCAACCTTTTTCTAATCTTCTATTGTCCAATTTTGGTGAGCCTCAATTTTCTTATTCTGACAGGAGCGGCACCCAGTGTGGTCTTCTGCAGCTTTAGCCCACCTGCTTCAAGGTTTGAGATGTTGTGCGTTCAGAAATGGTCTTCTGCATACAAATGGTTATTTGAGTTACTTTTGCCTTCCTGTCGGCTCAAAGCTGCCTCATCATTCTCCTCTGACATCAACAAGGTATAGGATAGGTGTACCTAGCAAAGTGCAAAACGACTGCAAAGTTACTTGAATTGTTCAAGTCACTTGAACATCCCTTTGTTTTCTGCACTGCGCTGGATATTGCCTTACAAGTAATTATACTGGGTGGGGTGTTTCGAGACTTTAAAGTCTTCAGGATTATCTATGCAGTGCCAAATACTGTGTCCCCAAAGGGAGCAGCTAATGCACCAGTGTCTTTAATCCAGAGTCAACTGAACTGATGCCTTAGAGAAAAGTTAAAGGAATCAAGGGCATCCCAGACTGACATTACACTCTATTCAGTCGTGGTTTGTGCTCAGAAGTACATTTTAGGAACTATTCAAACACACAGTTATTTCAATTTTCCTATTTTCATTATATGTTTGTCATTTTATTCTGACCTACATATGCAGGACAATTGGGAAAAGCTGACAAAATAAGAAATGCAAAGAGGAAAAAAAAAGAGCAAATAAAGTAAGAGATGGAGGTCTCCTAGCAGCGGTAAGAGGAGACGCGCTGTTGTTGAGAAGCAGAAGTGTAGCATGAGGAGCACAGGAAATGTCATGAAATATGTAGGAAGGAGCAGCTCAGCACCGGAACACAAAGCCATTAAAGAAAGCCCTGGAAAATGCAGTCAGCTAGAAATATAAACGTCCATTTCCGTATCGTTCATAAATACTCTCGCGCATGGATAAAAGCACACACACGCTTTCACATCTCCTGGAAAAAAAAAAAAGTAAAAGCTTTAATACTCATGTACACAGTTTAACACATTCTTGTGCTCTCAGAGACGCAAGCACGAAACTGTACATGCATTATCAGCACTAAACACAAAGAAAACAGAGCCAATCTCGTCTCTCCTCTCTCTGCTCTCCTCCTTCTCTTCCACTGGACCTGAAGATGTTTTTTAAATCATTGATTGAGTACATGCAGGAAACCAGCGAGACAGCTAGTCTGACATGCAGCAAGTGCTCTCAGTCTTTCGGGTTAAACAGCAGACCAGCGGACAACTCGCTCCGAAGGCGGTTTAGGGCGAGAAGAGGTGGCGCTCTGAGCTCTGAGCATTCACTTCGCCCTCAGCCCCGTACAACTCAGGCTTGTCAACAAGGTGCTTCAGCTGTGAGGAGGATTTGGTGCAGTGCTGAAGATGTAAGTGAAAAAACCATAGCACAGTGCAATAGAATCCAGTCATATTGTGACTTGGCACTTATTTGCTGTTCAGCATTTCATATATTTTTATGTGTAATAATGCATCATAAACTGGAAGACTGACGGGATTTTATGTTTATCTCTCTGGCAACAACTGCAGCTCAGGGCTGGAGGGGCTGTGGAGCCTCACAGGATTTAGTTTGTTTGTGAAGACTGGAGGAATCTATACTTTCCTTTGTTCAAGCAGTCTTAAAACGTCCCAGCGTTAGATCTCAGGTGAGGATAGTTAAAGGATTCATTGACTGGATCCAAGGATCGGGTTTTACAAAGCACATTGATTTGGATTTGACAGGATTTCAGTTTTGTTGTGGTTTTAATTTTGTGCTTTGGTTATCAGTCTGCCTGAGCTAATGTCTTCACTTAAAGTTGAAATTTTCATTTCAGATTAAAAAAAGATTACTGTTGCTGGCTATCAGCATGGCTAAATGATCACAACACTGGATGACCTGGACTGCAATCCAGCAAAAGTTCAGAGAAGATAACAAAACTAATGGAGATGAAGAGAAATAGCGTTTATTAAAGCTGTATGTGTCTGCTACAAAACAAGACGAGGGTGACTTCTTCTCTTTGTCTAGTCTATTTCTCCTGATCTCAATTCAGTCTCAGGGTAAATAGTGGTTTCCCCCTTTTCTGCACTATATTCATTCAGGATCAGACACAGTATCACCACATACTGGACAGTATGGCAGATTTTATTTTATTTTATTTTTTACAACACATGCCCTTCCTGACACACACCGGTGGGATTTGTGTCTCTTTTCAGAATCGAACCAACGATATTTTGCTTTTTGGACAAACGTGGGACCAACTACACTAGGAGAGCAGCAAAAATGTCTTCTTCTTCTTCTTTCAAATAAGAGGACTTCTGACAAACACATGACACATAGCAGAGCAAAGGATGCTTTTGGATTGCTATTAAAGCACAGAGTTGATCTTTTCCTGTTAATATTATTCACAAGCCCATTTTTAAAGTAATGAAAATTATTGTTTTTCTTGGTATATATGTGGGTACATTTATTTTAACAGAAATAAAAAAAAACTGAAAGTAAGTTGCAGATCTTTTCAGCAGCTCATGTTAGGTCAAACTGCAAAAAGCAATTGAAAGTGATAGTTATAGACTCGGTTTCTCCACAATGGAGATAGCTCAGCATAAATACCTGCATCACGAACTCAGTGCTTTACAGTGACTGTCTTCACTGTCTGATAAAGACACTTGCTGCTGCTGGTGGTAGAGGGTATGTATTATCATCTCTGTGGCAAACAGAAATGAGACCACACAAGTAAAGCACATCAGTGTTTCCGTCTCTCTCCCACTCAGCCAGCCACAGCCTCTCATAATTGCAATCAATAACTCAAACAGTTTCCGTCCATGTTATCACTATTATCATCATCACCACCACGCCCATGGCGCGCCATCGTTTTATCTTCTATAAATCAAAGTTCATGAGACTTCACTCTGGCAGTCACATCTAGCCACGGTGACCACAACGCAAATGCATGGATCGCTACTGGGCTTGCTGTTTTCTCTCCACTGCCTGAATCGTCTGAGCAAGGCAGCAACCTCTCCAGTAATTTACAGCAGAAGGGAAATTAAGGAGAAAGCTCTTATTAAACGACGAGTCATAATAATAATAATAATAATAATAATAATAATAATAATAATAATAATAAT